AAAAAAAAGAAGGAGAAAGAAACCTCTTCCGGTTCTCTAGAATAGGAGGCAGTAATTTATTTCACTATACAATATCTTTCAGTTCGCTGACCAGTAATCAAGACAAGAATGCACACATCATTAATAGAGCAGGTTTGGTATATTGGAAATTAAAGAAAGTTAATTCTTTTATGCGTAAAATAAAATGCTCGTATAGGTATAATTCATTATGTATTTTTCATCAAGTCGAATATTTATACGGCATTAGTTTGTTAAAATCAAACCAATTTGTTATATCATGTCCGTCCTGGGTTTTGAAAGTAAGAAGATTTGTACTTCAGATTTTGCTTAAAAGAAAAAGACAGAAAAGATGAGAAAGGCAAAATCTCCCCACTTACACACATAGAACAAATGAGAAGACTTATATATTTATATCCAATACTAGTATGTAGGGTTTAGATTTTTCACTTTTTTTTTTTTTTAATAAAAGTGGTTCTGGCTACATGTTAGTGAATCAAAGCCAGAGGTTTCGATTGGACCATGCCAATTAAAAGAAAGCCATACTTCAATTCTGTTTGTGGGTGGGGGAAGGGGAAAAAAAAAAAAAGAAACATTACCCACCCAAGTACGGGTTCACTGTATTTGAAATCGACCATTCATGTGTCCTCTGTTATATAACGCACAGCAAAACTCGAACCAACACACCATGGGAAGTGCCTCCATGTTAGCCTCGGTGGCGATGAGAAGGTAAGCAAAAATTATAACTTCATCCATCAATTAATGGAACTCAACTTCCCAATATGTTTCAAGTTTTGATATGTATCCTTGCAAGTAAAATCATTCATCACTTTCATGCTTGAAGGTAAGGTGGCTCTGATCACCGGCGGCGCAAGCGGTATTGATGAGTCTGCTGTAAGGCTCTTCTCGCAGCACGGAGCGAAAGTGGCGATCACCGATATCCAAGATGACTCGGGTCACTCGTTTCCAAAAGCATCACAGATTCTTCATATTCTTCTTCCTTTTCTTCTGCTGCCTACGTCCATTGCGACGTGACGAAGGAGAAGGACATCGAAAACGCAGTGGAAAGTGCGATTTCGAAGTACGGCAAGCTTGACATCATCTTCAGCAACGCTGGTATTGTCGGTGGTAACAAAACTAACATCCCCGAAGACCACAAATCCGAATTCGAGGAAGTCATTAACGTGAATCTCATCGGTGTGTTTCTGGGGACCCAGCACGCTGCCAGGGTGATGGCACCTATCAATTTCAAGTTAGGGTGATGGTACAAATCCTTAAATGCATCCTCAGTGAGCTCTGAGCTAGGATCCTCAGATGAAAAGTTTTCATGCCTATAACAGGAAAATCTCCATTTCTAGAATGGAGTGATAATTGAAGTTAGGCTAATGGAAAGAAGGCAAAATAAACCCTAGCATATCGATTTCACGCAGTGGCTAATCATATGTTTTCCTCAATAAGACGATTCTTAATCAAATGCACAAATTAGATGCTCAGAGATATTAGTAGAAAAGGGTGCGAACAGAAGAAATTGTACATAACAAATGCAATGAAGTTAGGTACTTTGTATTTTGTGTCATAGACACTGAATTTAACAACTCCTAAATTCACTGCCATAGTGCCATGCCTTGGTACATTCCCACCTTTCAAAAGAGGTCCAATAAACATCACAAGATTAAATGAAGTGAAAGACAGGATCCCTGAGCCTTACGAATAATAATATATTATTGCGCTTGTAGATTATGATTTCTTTAGTTATCGACTAAATAGAGTGGATGCTAATGATTGAAATCCTAACCTTGGCTTCCTTTTAACAAATCCTGTAACCTCAAAATAGGCAACTAATCACCATTATTTTCTTTTCTCCATGACTCTAGTGCAGATTACATTATTTACTGGGTTTCTTGTCTCATGCTGTATGTCTCTCCTGCCCTGTAATTTTGTGATCTACTGCAATTGTGGACTTCATAGTATTTGACCACACAACAACAAAATCTGCCGCAGTCAATGACAGTAAATGCCAAGTCTTCTCCACCCTAAGAAGCCTATGCTGAAGATAGCGAGCATGAACACTACCAAGCACATATTGACATATATAAGATATGAGGCTAGCCCATGGCTTTGTCTTGCTAAATTTTAAAGGTTAACTCAAAATTTAAGGTCAAAGGTGAACCAAGTTAAGCAAGCTCAACTTTTGAGTATGCTGGTAAGTGCAGATTTATGAAGCATCAAACAGAAGTAAATCAGCACTCAATGTATAAAGGTTGACTTCTCATTAAAATGATAGCAATAGCATTATCTTTCATATGCCCACCCCACCGCTCCAAATGAGGTTTGCCATTGATAACACATGCTTAGTTTTATTGAAGCAGTTTGACGATCCAAATCATATCTGTTACTCGATATCAGGTCAAGCTGAGAATTTCAGCCGGAGGGTTTGATTTGGTGAATAGAATAGAATAAAATTGAATTAAAAAAAAAAAAGTGATGTTTTTATGCAAAACGTCTTTTATGCCCGTTCGCAAATGGGTTAATGTTGAAGAGCACTTGGGCTATCATTGCAAAACTGATATCACATTATATGTTCCTACTTCAAAGCGCCCCTGAATACTAAGATCTAATTTTGTTTATGGTTAAACAGACACACCCAGTGGGAACAATCTGCCACGACGACTTAATAGTCTAACACTCTATAGACATTGTGATATGTAGTCGTAATTGGATACAAGAAATCTACAAAGCAGACACTGCTCCCTTAGTGATATCTACTAGTTTTGTTTCTTATTATGTGCGCACGGCAGAAGGCCGATGCCAATAAAGGTAGGTGAAAGATTCGATATTGAAACTTTCCGCTCTATAGCATTGAAGAACACCATTATTTCCTGATAATCTCCATTTATTCCTTCTTTTAATAACCCTTAATTCTCCAAGCAGCCAAAGAACAATATTCAAATTCAATTAATGCATAGGCAGACACAAATAGACCGAAATCTTACGCTAATTGGAAACCTGGATTGAAATCGAAGATGAGGGGAGGTCCAGTTAAGCGATAGCCGGACTAAGGGACGCTTCAGAAGCGAAAGCCTAGAGTAGAAGGGCAGGAAAAGAGAGGCGGAAGGAAGAGAGGATGAACGGCAACAGACGGCGGTAGGCATAGCTGCAACAGCGGATTAGCTACAATCCGGAGATTGAATTGGGCTGGACGCTTGAGAGAGTTGTTTACTCTTCTTCGATTCGGATAACTCGCGCTTTCTGTCTCGCATCAGAAGAAGAAGAAGGACCTGGGGTGATTGGAGATCGAATGAAAACGTACAGAGAACGAGGCAAGTGGGAGTCAGGGAGTGGGGGGGTATGTGACTGCTTGTAATTTCCTCAAAATAAAACTGACCTCGTCAATTTTCTTCGCTTCCCCAAGAGTCTCGCTGAAAAATTGATGTCTTCATAATCCCAAACTCTCAAAAATACCTTTTCACGCGAATTTATCAACCTCGTCAAAAGAAAAAGATAAGTGATTACTAAGTTACTAACAGAAACTGGCAAGCAGGGGTAAAAAAACAAGAACAAGAAAATAACATGATTAAGTGACTAACAAAAATTAATTCACAATCAATTTATAATCAAGTACAAAATAACCTTACCTTCTGGCCGGGGAAAACAACAAATCTTCAACTCCCGTTCCGCCACACCTTAATTAAAAAAAAAAAAGTAAATTTATATTGGATAGAAAACAGTCTTTGTGTTTGGATTTTACAAATAGTAAAAATATATTAAAAACAAATTTTGGTATTAAAATGATAAGAAACATTGGGTACTAGATAGTTATAATAAAAAATTTTAATGATGAAAATTCTTTTTTATATGGAACATTGGGAATGTTTGGAAAAGAAACAAGAATAATGGAATAAAACACGGGACAAGCGAAATGCACAGAAAGGGTGCTTATGCACCTAAAATTGTCTTAGATTGAAGTAGCATCAGTAATAACTAACTAATTAGGAGGTGTAATTCCATAAGTTCATTTATTGTTCTACAGTAGGTCAGCTAAAATGACTTAAGAAGCAATACATTACGCTGCACCAAAAGCAGGCATGCCTTCAAGAAATGAATTAACTTTCTTTATTTTTGACAAAGAAATTAATTAATGTTATCTTTGAAAAACAAAAGAAAGATAAAAATAGTGACTTGGAAAGAGAAAGCATAACCACAACACCTTACTCTGTCCTGAATGCAGGAACAGAGGATCTGCCACCCTGAGACATGAACCACAGAAACACATTAGTTCTGTCTTCCCTTGTTCGAACAGCTACGTTGTTTTCAATCCATAATTTCGAATATATAGTGCAATGAAGTAGGCGTAAATTCAAGCAGAAGAAGAGAAGAACAAGTAAAGAGTAAATCAAACAAATTACCTGATTCCAAATGCCGGTGGCTAATGAGATGGATATATCACAATCTGTCTCATATATAAAATGACAGAACCCGCCGCTGTGCCTTCTTTCAATTCATGTACACTGCTATATGTGTTTTCAATTCATTTGCTTGGTACTCCTCCTCTTTTTAACATAAGACTCATTTAACTATTTTGATTAAATAAAATTAGATAAGTAAGTTAATTATAAGAAATATGACATTTTTTTTTCTAAAACACCATAATCATTTTTCTTGATATTCTCCCCGCTCTTCTACTAGATTATGATTTGAGGGAATATCCATAAAGTTAATTTAAAAAAAATTGATAAATATGAGAAATAGATCTTATATTTAGAATTAAAATCAATTCAACAATTACGTCTTATACGGAAGAGTATCATAATAATAATATCCTATGAACATGCACTACAATGATTATCATTGTCTGATCCCATAATCATAACACAATAAAACAAACAGTACAAAACAATACACAGCATCTCAGAGCCCAACATGTGCTCTAACGTTCAATCATTTTAGTAATTACTAATTACTTGAACATTGCAATCAGTTTATCTTGGTCTTTCAGCAAACTCTTAACCCATCATGTCACCTGCTCTACATGTAGCCCAGCCACTGAGCTTGAAGATGTTCACTGTAGCTTCTCCTGCAAAATGCGAGCAACAAAAGTAGCTCGATGTTAAGGAAAATAGAAAAATAATAATTACATTTTTATGACAGATAGAGAAACTAGAAGTTAAAATTAAAAGAACGAAGGCGTTTTATGATTAATTTGTTATGCTATAGAACCTTTCACTAGCGGTGGGCTATAGATACTTATTTTCATAACATAATAATTATGCACAACATGAATTTGACATTGTCCTTATAATTGTAGTTAAATGTCATAAATACTTTACTCCCCAGACGTAAATTTTTGAGTTTTTTTTTTTGGGCGTTATTACACCAGCACAATGAATTTTAAGTTGATTTAACCGCTTAATGATAATAAAAACGGTAAGCTTGACCAGTTGTTTATAAGATATAATACTAAATAATTATAAGTGGAGTTAAATATTAAATGCATAGAAATTAAATTTAAAAGCACAGATATGTAGAGTAGAAACTAATTAATAGTAGGTATGAAAAACCTATTAAAGCAAGAGTTGATATGAGCAGAAAGTATTACCAGATAACCTCTGAGCCACCTATTGCACTTTGTCACATTTATTACAACCATAACATAGATAGAATCAGTCAAATTGTTGAGAAACTTGAAGTACGTGTGCCTCCAGGAGCGATTAAAAAGTATTGGCCCAAAAATTCCCCAAAATCCAACAACAAATCCAAACCCCATACTGCAATAAAACTCCTTAGAAAGAATTGAATCATTATTTTCTTGGAGCTTAACTGATTCTTGAGATCCTTCCTCCCCAGGACACTTTATCTCAAGTGGTTCTCCACATAGGCCAAGATTTTCTTCATAACTCGAGTTATCAAAACTTTGCAATTGTGTGCTAGTTGGAATTTTTCCAGAAAGGTTGTTAGATGACAAGTCTAACACTGCAAGATAATTAAGCTGAGCAAAACTAGAAGGAATTGAACCAAAGAGATGGTTTTTGGACAAATCAAGAGACTCTAATGATGTTAAACGTCCAATCTCTGAAGGAATTTCTCCATCTAATTGATTTCTTGATAAATTTAATGATATTAGCCCAGCTAACATTCCCAACTCTCGTGGAATTTTTCCACTTAACTTGTTGCTTGAAAGATCAAGACCTGTAACCAATATGTGATGCTTAAATATACGTTCTTGGTGTTTCCACATCAACATTGCAATTGGATCATATCTAGCATAAGCTCTTCTATCGGAATCACCAATTTCAACCAAATGAATACCAGAGTCATCTGCACTCCCTAGAGCCATTTGTGTGAATTTTTTGAAGCATTTGGGGATTTGTCCAGATAGAATGTTCCAAGAGAGGTCTAAAAAGTGAAGGTTCGATAAATAACAAAGATGAGTGGACAAGCTTCCAGAAATGTTATTATTTCGTAAGATTAAAATTTTCAATTCTTGCAATCCATCATTCTCAATCAGTGAAGGTATATGTCCAAAGAACTTGTTTTCTGCTGCATCAAGAAGTGCTAAATATGAGCAATTCCTCAAAGTAACGAGCAATTCTCCGGTCAAACCATTATTTCTCAAGATTAATACTTCAAGACTTTGTAGAGAACCAACAGAAATAGGAAGTTCTCCAGAGAAATTGTTGTTACTCAAGTCTAAAAACGTTAATGATTTGAAATGACTCCAACAATCAGGAAGTTGTCCATATAATTGATTATCAGAAAGGTCTAATACTATCAATCCTTGACTTGACCCGTTTGCACACAAAAATGTGTGAAGTTCTGAAAAACTATTATGTGACACATCAAGGGCCATTGTATTTTGTAGAAATTTTGGAAGTGAGCCTTTGAAGTGATTCGAAGCTAGAGATATAGAAGGGTATTCACCAAATTCAATGGCAAGATTTGGCAATGAACCAGAAATGTTGTTGCATGAAACATTCAAGTTTGTAAGCTGTGGTGTCAACAAACCCCAAAACCACTCTGGAATATTGCCTGAAATTCCATTATTTGAAATGTCAAGTTCCGTGAAATTATTTTGAGTTTGCAACCATTCTGGAAAATCAGGACCCAACTTGCATGACCTCACATAGATGGCTTGTAATTGAAATGGAGGGACCCAATTATGACTGAATCTCAGAGTCAATGAGTTATCAGATAGGTCTAAAACTTTCAGGTTGTGCATACTGGCAAGATGCGAGTTTGTGAGAATGCCTTTCAAGGAGTTGGAACTAATATCCAAAGACACCAGTGAAGAGGGAAATCGATAATCTTTGGGTATTGTCCCATTCAACAGGTTCCTTGAAACGTCAAAATTCTTTAAAGATGAGAATGTGGCAAGGTTTACCAGTGTGCCGGTGATTTGATTATAGCTCAAGTCCAAGTATTGCAAAGAACACTGGGCACAACTAGAAAAAGATTCAAGAATGGTTGAAAGTTCTTCACTCAAGAGATTTCTAGTTAGGGACAAAGAACGCAAGGTACATATATGCCCTAGGAATTTTAATCCCCCATTGATTTTATTGTAACTAAGGTCTAGATTCTCAAGAGAATTCATCGTAGTAGCAAATTCACGAGGAATGGGACCCTTTAGGTTGTTCCACTCAAGACTAAGATCAACAAGATTGGTGCTGATATTTAAGATCCAATGGAATACTGTAGATGACTGGAAATCATTCTTGCTGAAATCTAATTTAGAAAGAGAGGAAGAGGAATTGAATTTTAATGAGGGTAAGGAGAGGATATGCTCATCTGAAAGATCATTGTACCACATAGTTAGCTCTTTCAAGTTGGGCAGCTTTGCAATCATCTGCAACCACTTGTGACAATATTTGAGATCAGTTACATTTGACAGCTCTAGACGGGTCAAAGAAGTGAGACTAGACAGCCACTCATGTCCAGCAGCACCATTTTCTCGATCAATCTGGAGAGTACCTGCAGAGGATAGAAGAAGATTCTGCAAGTTGGAAAGGTTCCCAAGTTGATAAGGTATTACTCCGCTAAGAGTATTATGTGAGAGATCAAGATACTTCAAGTGGGAGAGGTTTCCAAGCTGATAAGGTATTACTCCGCTAAGAGTATTATATGAGAGATCAAGATACTTCAAGTGGGAGAGATTTCCAAGCTGATAAGGTATTGCTCCTCCAAGATAGTAATTGCTTGAGAGATCAAGATACCTCAATTGCGAGAGATTTCCAAGCTGATAAGGTATTGCTCCCCTGAGACAGTAATAATTTCTTGAGAGATCAAGATACCGCAATTGCGAGAGATTTCCAAGCTGATGCGGTATTGCTCCCCCGAGAAAGCAATTGTCTGAGAGATCAAGATACCGCAATTGCGAGAGATTTCCAAGCTGATAAGGTATGGCTCCTTCAGCAAAATTCCCCGAGAGGTCGAGATATTGTAAATGTGAAAGGAGCCCAAGTTGACTTGGAATATTTCCTCCACTTAAACCGCAATTGTGGAGATCAAGGTATCTTAAGTGTGTTAGAGAGCCAAGGAATTCGGGGATGGAGCTATCTCCAAAATAATTGGAACTAAGGTTCAAATACATCAAGTATTGTAACTCCACCAATGATGCATCGATCTCACCTTTCAAGTAGAACTCTGGAAAATCACCAGGAAGATGGAGCTTGATGACAGTCCAGTTTGGTTGTCGCAGAAAACTCCCTCCCATTCACAGCAATCTGTCTTGTGCTGTTTGCTACCCCATGAAGACCATCTGACAAGGGAAGAGTTGCCAAGGGCAGCCTTAAAGCGAAGTAAGGCTTCCCTCTCCTTCTCTATGCATTGAACCTCATCAGCACCCATGGCTGTCCAACAATTGGGAGCCAGGAGCCGAAGCTCAAACATTGCCATAGCTAACACAAGCAATTTCGGAAAACCCATCATCCGCATTTCTTTCACAAGTGTATCTCCACTGAGTTGATAATGCTAGACACAGTATTGATGAATCTATGAGCTAGTATTTATTGAGATAATTGCTGATCCCTCTTAGTGATCATTTTGACTCTACTTTAGTTTCCACACGGCAAAGACTCTAATTTCGAATTAATGCAATTACGTGGAAAGCTCCATTCAACTACTTTAAGAAAATACTCATGTAGAACAAAAAAGTTTTCGTTAAGAAATAAAAGGATTCAAGAAAAAAATCATTGAAGAAAAATAGCACTTGTCGTGAAGGAATACCTTGGTCTGTTGATTTCACAAGGGAGGCCTTAAGGATCGTTTACTGAAGAAAATTCAACCCAAGAAAAAAAATCATTTAGAAAAACAAAAAGAATTATTGATAATGCCGGACACAGTACTGCCTTGTTGCTGTTACTGAAATGTTAGAATGCATAGACATAACTGTTGAGAGCATGTAATTTTTATACAATTAAATTAGTTAACTTGTTTTGCACGTTCTAATTAATATGCAATCTTTCATTTTCCTGTCAATCGTATGCATACCTGGGCTTTTCTCAACTATGGTTTTCACTCTATTTAATAAGTTGTTTCCAAAAAAAAAATGGCAAAGAAAGGTATAATCTGATCCTACATAATGAATGTCCCAAGCTCCACGGTCAATATTCAACAACTATCATTTTCACTCTTATTTTCCAATTTCCACATGACAAAGAAAAGTATGCATTTCCGTCCCTAGCTTCGAGATTCTCTGTCAGCTGCATTCTAATTTCAAATGTGCAATTTCCTGGAAAGCTCCATTCAACGACCATAAGTAAATTCTCTTCCATATATAACAAAATATTTTCCATGAGATCTTAAAGCAAAAAAGGAACAAAAAGGATTATATTCAAGAAAAACGAAAAAAAATCATTGAAAAATATAGTACTTATATAAGCAGTAAGTACCTTGGCCAATTGGTCTTACGAGGGAGATCTTGAAAAGTTTACTGAAGAAAATTCAGCCAAAGAAAAAACATCACAAAACAAAAAGGAAAGGATTGATATATAACAACTCACTAATTAATTATTTCCTAAAAATTTGTTGCCATATTTAAATTAAATAATTTATACTCCCCGTCAACACGCCTAGTCGCTTCTTTTGCTGACACAAGGTCGAAATTCAAATAACTGATCTTCTAAGAAGAAGCTTAATAGCTATCTTAATTACACCCCTCGTTTTCACTCCAAATTAATGACATGTGGTGGGAACAAGATAATACGTCAAAAATATAATACTAATACAATATCGAGTCATCCACATTAAGTTTTGTAAAAGATATATCAACTTTTAATTTTCATATTTTAAAAAGAGTTAATGAAAAATTGAAAAAAAAAAAGCATGAAAAAGAAAACAGGCACATCGAGATTAGATATTGTGGGTCGTAATGGGCTCTCCGTTTGATCAAGCCCATGATGCCGGCCGACGTCTGATGCTTCTTAGGTCAACCTTAAACCTCTTCATTAACTTCAACCCCTCTCTTCCTCACTCTCTTTTTTCATCTCCAATTAGAAACTCAAATTACGTGCTTCCAAGTAGTGAATGGCTTAATCGTCACCACTAGTGGACAAGAATACATTATCCTAAGAAGCTTTATACCCAATACGAGTAATCTTATTTTTAATAATTCCTCAAGAAAAATGTGGCTGTTTAATACCCAATACCTAATTTAATTTCCACATGTGAGACAAAATTATGTATTTGCATCCCGAGCTAGCTTCGAAATTCACTCTAATTTCAAATATGCAATCTAATTTCAAATATGCAATTTTCTCTGACACCTAGCTAAACAGAAACAAAAAAAAAAGGGATTATAGTAATAAAAAAACGAAAAAAAATTGGAAAAAAATAGTACTTGTCATCATGAAATACCTTGGCCAATTGCTTTCATAAAGGTGACCTTGGGGTCTTTACCGAAGAAAATTCAACCAAAAGAGAGGGGGGGGGGCATCACATAAGAAAACGACAACTGATCACCGACTCTTTGATTTCACTGTAATTTAATTTCCACGTGTGAGACAAAAGTATGTACCTGCGTCCCGAGCTAGCTTCGAAATTCACCATCCTGCACTCTAATTTCAAATATGCAGCTAGCTTTGAATACCACCTGGGGGTGTTAGCTCAAACAGACCAAGTTAACATAGTCTGATATCCAAGGCTCTAATCCAGGTAAGGCCACTCATTCTTTTTGAGATGCTTGCTCCTCTTCCCTACTGGAGAGGAAAACTCTGGAAAATTCTCAAAGAACATAATATTTGGGACTTACCAACTCCCAAACAAAAAAGATTCTTCTGTCTGTATACCTTTTTCAGGAACTATGGTATAAGTGCTGACCAGAGGCTCTACACAGACAACTGTCTGATCCTCCAGGTCACCACCCCCTCATGGCTAAGAAAGGAAGCATTATTGATGGAGAAAATTGGGAAGACATTAATTGCACTTAACCAGCCTGACACAGGAGAAAACACTTCATGTCTTTCTCTCGGACCTGTCCCTCCAAACTCACCGTCTGCCAGCAACACAACACTTGAAGAATTCCAGAGAGATTTCATCCTGAGTGCTATCAGACCTCCACCAAATAGGCCACAAGTCCCTCCACCGGCAGAAGCCGTCGAAGACCCTTATGACGGTGACAATGACTCACAAATTCAACTCACTCAGCTTGAAGGACTCTATCTTCCTCAGCCAAGTTTTCAGTCACAACTCCCATTCCTCGCAGGAGAATCCCAGGACCCCAACCAAGAAGACCCTGACCCAGAGCTCGAAGAATACTACTACTCAAGGAGACACTATGACTCAGATGACCCTGACCCGGAAGGCATCATGAACCTATCCCCTAGCCATGAGCCTATCCATAAAGACTAGGGGATATCATCATCAGGAAATCTCCTTTTTAGATACTCTGAAGATAAGATGGGACCCGTCAGATTCCTACTTTATGTCGTCGTCTATTTTATTAAAGTACCTTTGGAAAAGTAGCTTTAATAAAGTAGCTTTGTAAAAGTAGCTTTATTAAAGTAGTTTGTCCTATAGTCTATTTCGTCCTCTTGTAATCATTAAAGTAAACGTCATCATTAGGATAGGTCATAATGGCGTCTACCCGTCATCATGACATGTACTATTAGGTCTTTGTCATGTAGTGACCCCGAACCCCTATATAAACCCCCACTTTGCCTTCAGTTGGGGGCAGAAGGAGTTGTATCGACTTCCTTGTATAATACTAGTGTGCTTTCCTCATGAGTTCTCTCTAAATTTCTCTCTTCTTCTGAAAGCCTCACTTATGATATCTTTCTTCTGTCACCAGAGATTCTAAGTATGCTCTGCACTTGCCTCTTTAAGAGGATCCTGTGTATCAGAAAATAGAATCTGACCACGATCCATGAAGGAGTGTTTGGTGACAATCTTTCCAGTTATCTTAGATCTGGTATTCAAAGCTGAAAGTCCTAACGTGGCCCGTTGATGAAACACAATATGTTCTTCCTTATTCTGAAGATGAGGAAACTGATTCTCAATCTTTTTCTCAAGAAGATGATGATCCTCAAGGATATTTATATTCCCTTGAACAGCCTATGCATCCGCCTTCTTTTCTTGGTTCCCTGGCTTCTCAGCCAGACCATAATAAAGTTACTCCCAAGCCAAATGTCAAAATTCATATTCTTCCAGGAAGATATGAAAAGCCAATTCCTGTTATTGCTTTTATTGATACTGGAGCATGCAGAACCATCATGAATCCTGATATTCTTCCCCCTGAAGCATGGATCCCTTGTGATCAACTTTTCCTTACTGCTGATTCAAAACCCTTCAAGATTGAATGGATCACTCGCAGGAAGATTGGTATTCAATTCTTTCCAGGATGTGTTCTATGGATGAAAGTTCTTGGTAGTGATCTTCCGGGGAAAGATATTCTTATTGGATTTGATGCTTATAATCATACTAGGAATCTTCAAGTCTTGCCTAAAGGAATTAGATATAAAAATTTCTTTAGTGCATATACTGAAGTTCCTAATCTCTTTGAGATCCAACAGGTACCACCAGGATATGAAGATATTCGAGATCATCTTCTCAAATTTTGTGCTGATAGTCATCAACAATTCTCTCATCCCTTTCCATTATGGAAAAATCAAGAGTTTTTCATAAAACTCCCCTTCAAGAAAAATGAAGACATCAGTCCCACAAAAGCCTCTCATCCAGGAATGAATCCAAAAGATCTCAAGCTCGCTAAAGAGGAATGTGCTGCACTTCTCAAACAAGGCCTTATTGAACCAACAAAATCCAATTGGGCTTGCCAGGCCTTCTATGTTGAAAAAAGATCAGAAATCAAAAGAGGGAAGAAAAGGTTAGTTATTGACTATAAGCCCCTTAATATTTTCCTTCAAGATGACAAATTTCCTTTACCAAAGCCCAGTTCACTTACAGTCCATCTTAGGGATGCAAAAATATTTTCCAAGTTTGACCTCAAAGCAAGATTTTGGCAATTGGGTATCCACCCAGAAGATCGACCCAAAACTGCTTTCTGTATTCCAAATGCCCAATACCAATGGACTGTTATGCCATTTGGGCTTAAGGTTGCCCCATCACTGTTCCAAAAGGCCATGACCAGAATCTTTG